CTATAATCCAGCTCATTTGAAGGAAATTATCCATATTCTCTCATTCACTATAGTGGTGCAGTCTTGAAGCTGTATTAATTGAAACGGGACAACTGAATAGTGTTTGCATTTGCAAGTTATCAAACTTCTTTTACAAAGTTACAGTTTCAAGAAAAAAACACACAATAGTTAATTGTTTCCCATGAGCCAGTTTAACAAATTTGCATCTTTTTTTTTTTTGTCTTAGAAGAAAAACTTTTTGTTGTTCCCAGCCATATTTCCACAAATAATAAGAGCAAGGAAAAGGGTGGGAAAAGCATATTAATTGTTAGATCTAGTCCATCAAGTTACTTGTCATTATTTCTATACAGTGACATGATTACATTTGAGTCCCAAATATCTGTTGCTAAGTGAATTGTGCCCCATTTTACAACCTTTGCCACTTTGTTAAGTAAATCACTGCAATTGTTAAGTTAGTAATACGTGAACGTTAAGTGAATCTGGCTTCTCCATTGACTTTGCTTGCTAGAAGGTCACAAATGGTGATTACCTGACCCCAAGATACGAGAAGCGTCATAACTGAACCAGTTGCCAACCATTCTGAATTTTGATCGCATGATTGTGGTGATACGGTAGATGTCGTAACTATGAAAAGTGGTCATAAGTCACTTTTTTCAGGGCCGTCCCAAGTATCCGAATTTTTATCAACCTAGAAGATGCTGCAGTGGTGATAAGCGTGAAAAACGGTCATAGGTTGTGGTGGTGCAGTGAATGCAGTATTGCAGGCTGACTCTGCCCACTGCCTGGACTTTGATCATGACAGGCCCAAGGTTGACTCAGCCTTCCATCTTTCTGAGTTCGGTAAAATGAGGACCCAGATTGTTGGGGGTCTATGCTAACTCTGTAAACCTTATAGAGTGCTATGAAGCAGTATATAAGTCTTAGTGCTATAAGTCCTCTTTTTCAGTGCTATTATAACTTCAAATGGTCACTTAATGAATAGTTGTAACTTGAGAATTCCCTGTAGTTGGCAATTTGTAGAGAAGAAGAGAATGAATTAATTTAAGTCACAATCCTAATTTAAGTACCAGTAAAGCCAACAACAATTGGTGTTTTTAGATGAAAGACAAACCCTTGGCTGACATTCTGAGAAGATCTTAAATATTTAGCTAGAGAGAAAAAAATACTCAATGCTTCTGTTTAATGATAACAAAAGTCCTGACATGGAATTTAATTAGATGTTCACATGAGCGCTTCCATTTTTCTTAGGAATTATTCAGTCAAAGACTTGCCGAAATCTGTATTATTCTCATCCTATTGAAGCAAAGCGAAAAGTTCCTTATTTTACAATCACAGTTCAATAGCTTGGACTCACGATATTGTTTTACAGTCAAATCTATTCTTTTATTACATGAAGTTCTTTTCGAGCAGAACAAACTACATAAGCTCAACTTCTTTGCAAGTTTTAACTTTGAAATATTTGTAGTTAATGCCTTACTTTATTATTGGAGAAGCTGTGTTGTATAAAAGACAAAGGTGAACAAAAAGCAATTAAATTTGTCTCCAAATCTTTTGATTATCAGGCCTCTTGTCACTTACTTGCTTCTTCATTTTGAATTGAAACATGGGCTGAAACTTCTATTTTTATTTTTTATTTTCAGCCTTTTTGTGGACGTTTGCAATTGAAAAACTTCAGAAGTTTAAAATGCTTGAGTTCAGAAACAGTGGAGAGGAAAATATGCTCTACACAAGGCAATGATATTCAGTATTCTCGAATTTAAAAAACACTTTAAAATGGTGTTTTTCAGGAGCAGCATTGCTCAGTCAGGCACAAAAACCTACATCGCACAATATTCAAATTGCAGTGAAATGCCAGGTTGAGGCTAAGCAGTTTTGTAGATCTGTGAAGGAGGTTTATAACTCCCCGTTTTCATGTCTGATCCAGATTATTCATTGCTTTAATTTAAGAGAGAAAATAAAGGTCAAATTCACACAAGTGGAAGTAGGAAGCCTCCCCCCCCCCCCTACATTCGAAGTGTAAGGAAATGCAGACAGGCCTTCATTTCTGACCATCATTGTGGACCAGAACTTCAGTTACGGTAAAGCTCTATGAAGAGCTGAAGAAGCTTCCTGAGTGAGAAGCAAAACGTCTTCAAAGAAAAATTGGAAAGTCCAGTTGCCTTTTGAAAAAGCACCTTTGGGGTCAGATAAGCAATGCAGTTGGTGGTGGTGGTGGTGGTTTTTCTGCAGCAGGGGTTAAATAGCAATAGCAATAGCAGTTAGACTTATATACCGCTTCATAGGGCTTTCAGCCCTCTCTAAGCGGTTTACAGAGTCAGCATATCGCCCCCACAGTCTGGGTCCTCATTTCACCCACCTCGGAAGGATGGAAGGCTGAGTCAACCTTGAGCCAGTGAGATTAGAACCGCTGAACTGCAGATAACAGTCAGCTGAAGTGGCCTGCAGTACTGCACCCTAACCACTGCGCCACCTCGGCTCTTTGAACCATGCCATCATTAAGCAAATTTGGGTTATGCTGTTGACTCTGCTAGTTGGAGAATCCTTGGGAAGGTTGTAAATGGTGATCACAGGACCCCGCAAACGGCATAAATACACGCGGGTCGCCTAGATTTTGATCACATAACTGCAGGAATGCTGCAATGTTCGTAAGACTGGTTATACGTAATGTTTTTTTAGCACCATCGTAACTTCAAAGAATCACTAAACAAATGGTCCTAAGTCAAGGACTAGCATTGCAAAATGGTTTGCAAAATAATAATGGACTTCCTTCCAGTCCTGCAGGATGCTCCTTTACAAGCTCTGAATTGGGAAGTCAGCTGTAATGCTGCAGATGGGATGGTAGTTGAATTCAAAATGTGGTCACATCAATCAGAATAGAGCTGGAAAGGACCTTGGAGGTCTTCTAGTCCAACCCCCTTCTCAAGTAGGAGATCCTATACCATTTTAGACATGTGGCTGCCCAGTCTTTTTTTTTTAAAAAAAACCTCCAATGATGAAGCACCAACAACTTCTGAAGGCAAACTGTTTGGCTGGTTAATTGTTCTCACTGTTAAGAAGTTTCTCCTTCGTTCCAGGTTGTTTCTCTCCTTAATTAGTTTCCATCCATTGTTTCTTGTCTGGCCTTCAGGTGCTTTGGATAATCAGTTGATTCCCTCTTCTTTGTGGCCATCCCTCAAATATTGGAAGACTGCTGTCCTGTAACTCCTAGTCTTTCTTTTCTCTAGAATGGCCCTACCAGTGGTGGGCTGCAGGCGGTACGCCCTGGTACAGGTGTACCGGAGCCTTCCCGGAGCACCGGGTACTGTTCTGGTACGGCACTCCGGAGGGCCCACCCGCCTGCCCGCGCTCCTTACCATGTTTTAAAGCTGCCGGCGCTTCCGGGCACTCGCATGCCGCATACAGCGCCTGTGTGACGCTCCACTGAGCAGCTGGAGCATCGCCGAGGCTTGCGGAAGCATCATTTGACACTACAACACATGCGTGTGTGCATGTGGGTGACTCCGGGGCCTTTCCAACCGTACCGGTTGGAACAGAATCCGGAACCCACCACTGGGCCCTACCCAGTTCCTGCAAACATTCTTCATATGTTTTAGTTTCTAGGCCTTTAATCATCGTAGTTGCTATTCTTTGCATTTTTTTTCCCAAAGTCTCCACATCTTTTTCGTAATGTAGTGACCAAAACGATGCAATATTCCAAGTGTGGTCTTACTAAGGCTTTATAAAACAGTACTAATACTTTACGTGATTTTTATTCTATGCCTCTGTTTATACAACCAAGGACTGTATTAGCATCTTTGGCTGCTCCCACACACTGCTGGCTCATATTTAAGTGGTCTCCCAGTGGCAGTGGAAATGCCTCCTTCACGTTTTTCAAATTCCATTACAAAAGTCATTTTCCATAGGAAACGGGCAGAGAATGCACAGTGTTTGAAGAAACTCGAGTCATAATGCTCTCTTTCTGGATCACAGACTAATTACAACTATTATTTAGATTCTTACTGCAATGAATTAGGTTTTTCCCCCCCATTGTCCTGAAAAGACCTTTTGATCACACATTTCTGACAAACCTTAAAATGTGTTTGCTAGCAAATTTGTTTTTGTTTTTCTTTTTAACAGCTACCTTTCATGTTTATACTAGTACTTTCTCAAAGGCCCTGTCCAAATGGATCTAAATAAAACATTGTTATATTGTTTGCTGTAGGAGCAGATGGTTCTTATTTCTGTGGACACACAGCCTGATGAATCCTTTATACCTTAGCGTAAAATATGGATGTGATGTGTGCAGTTGTTTGCTGCAATAAACACAATATGGCTTAACAAATCCCATTACATGCAATACTGTTTCATTCTCTGGCATACCATTTCATTCAAACACTGCATGTTCCCCGGAAATATTCAACATCATAAGATGGAATTAATTTACTTGCTTACAAATAGAGACATCAAATTTACAGAAGACCTGTTTTCAGATTAAAACCCAGGTAAGTCCTCCATTTATGACTGTAATGGGGCCTACTTATTATGGTCGTAAGTCATGATAGTCGTAATACGGGTCATCCACATGACCAGATTTTGTTACCTTCTTTTGCAGGGGTTGTTAAGTGAATACCATGGTCATTAGGAGAATCCAAGAGAAGTAAATGCTGGTTTTAGACAAAAATATAAATCACGATCACATGACCTTAAGACTGCAAACGGCCATAAACATGGGCCAGTTGTTAAGCACCCAAAATGTGGTCATGTGACTGGGGGGGAGGGGTTGAAACCATATTGGAACTTTGAAATTGGATCATAAGTACTTTTGGGGGTGTCCATTAGAACTTTGAACGGTGGCTAAGCAATCAGTCATAAATCGAGGACTGTATAATAATTTGCTAGAAATAATAGAGGTTTTTTAAAAAGTCAGTGCTATAACAGAGTTATCTATTTGTTCTGTGTGAAACAACAGGCATTTTTCTTTAAAAAGCCCATTTAGAACGCAATATTTCATTTCTTTACAGTGTCCCAATGTAATCTCAGTTTGAAAAAGCAGAGAAGCAGAAGCATCTTTAGCACTTTTTTCTGCTGCTTTCGTGACTACAATGTTGAGTCTCCATCTCCTAACAGCACCACTGTCCTTCCTCCATTGGTGGAAGAAAATGGCGGGCTTCAAAAGGTAAGTTTTTTTTAATAGGGTGGGTTTTTTGGGGGGGGAAGGTGGAGCCTCATATGAGTAAATCCGCAATTATAAATTGCCACCTAGTTCAATATCAGATAAGGCACCGAACCCTTATTGAGAATCATTAAAAACAAGACTAGTTCCTTTCTTCTTGATGGCCTTAAATAATTAAATCTGAAAAATGGTCAAAGCCTCGTTTAAAGAGTTGGCATAGTGTATCCTTTTCTGAAAACACTTTCCATGGATCTAGTTATGTAAGACAGCATGCCATGCCATCCCAAACCTTTTGTTTATTGTTGATTAGTGCTGATAACCTGGTGTTGCCCGGGTATTTATTTATTTATAGGGGGAAGATCAAACATAATTTCTAATGTTGGATTTTCCCCCTTACCAGAGGGAGCCCCCTTGTGGAGTACTGTGAAGCCATTACCATGGCAACTCCACAACGCTGTACAGTAGAAGCCATTTTATGGCAGTGTGGTAGAATTCATTTTAAGGCACAACAGACTGTATCTTAACAGAACACCCCCCCCCCCGAGGGGTGTTAGGGCTGTCTTACCCCCGCAGCCCTTTCACAGTATTTTTCTCCAGAGAGTAAGTCATCTGTGTACCAAGTGTGGTTGAAATTGCTTGCGGCTTTCCAGAGTTATGCTGAAACATACCACACACACACACACACACACACACACACAGCCATTTTAGCCATATATAAAGACAAGATGGTGGAACTTCAATGACAATTCTCTGGAGGATGCAGAAGACACTTTTTCAGTTGTTTTAAGCTTGGCATAGAATGAAAATGCCACTGGTCACTCTTTTGGATGACCTTTGCCAGGTTCTGAATGAAATTGTAAGCCCTTCAAAGGTGCCACTTCCTCTCCTATTGGTGTTTGATCCCATCGTGGTATCTCTCTCAATTCTGGATATGCATTTTTAAAGTGGTTCCACCACTTGGGTTGTACCACGGGTGGTGGTAGGTAGAAGATCAGCCCTATGAATGCCCCTTTGTATGGTCCATTGTTCCATCATTCCTACTTTTGCAATACTTCCATGAAACCTCGGGGAGAAATCATCTGCTCATCTGGTTTTCTGGCTATTCCAGTTGTGACTCTGGTTACGACAGCAATTTCTCTGATTGGATTGACAGCAATACTATATTTGCCATAAATGTCATTGCTAGGGCTTGTATAGGGCATAGCTATTTGTCTATGGAGAGTCTCAGTCATCTAGGTCACAGTTGTCCCAAAGGTGCTTTTTCAAGAGGCAACTGGGCTTTCTTTGTCTTTCCTTGAAGATGTTTTGCTTCTCATCCAAGAAGCTTCTTCAGTTCTGATCAAATGGTGGAGGATGAAATTGACCTCAACAACTCTCAGAAAGAGTAACTAGAAAACTTCAAGGAGTACAAATCCTTTCATCCTCTACCATTCAGTCAGAACTGAATAAGCTTCTTGGGTGAGAAGTGAAATGTCCTCCAGGAAAAAACAAAGGAAGTCCAGTTGCTTTTTGAAAAAAGCACCTTTGGGTAGGCTATCTATGATCCTATCTGCAGCAGGAAGTCCTAACTCATTCCTTCCTCGCTGCTAGGTTAGACTACTGTAGCACAGGGGCTGTTCTTGAAAACTATGTAGAAATTTGCACTTGGTGCAAAGCACAGCTTTCCACATACTAATGGGTAAGAGCTGTTCCAGTTTTATTACACTTGTATTGTGGGTGCTGTATTAACTTCCAGTAGATTTCCATGTATAATTTAAAGTGCTGGGTTTAACCTTTACGTGACCCGTCAAAACCGCGGAGGACAAAATCGCGCTCGACAAAAGCGCGCAGGTGACGTCATCACAGCGCGACGGAAAAAATTAAAAATTGAAATAAAATTAAAATTAAAGCAAGCCGATTCACATAAAGGTAAGGGTTAGGTTTAGGGTTAAGGTTAGGGTTAAGGGTTAGGGTTAGGTTTAGAGTTAGGTTTAGAGCGTTAGGGTTAC